ATACAGCGTGACTTATTTTGTGCATATGTGTGCCTGTCTCCTCTCCTCTAGTCTGTAGGCATCTGTGATCCTTTTTAACCTGAAACTCATATCCTTCATTTGAGGAATGTTTTCTTGAATTGTTTTATTAATGATTTGCTTCCTTCTGTTTTCTCTGTCTTCTTTCTAGATCTGTTCTTCAGATGATGAACAGCTAAGATTGATCCTCTTACTTTTTAAAAGTCCTATTTTTTTGTGTTTTTGCTTTCTTTCTGTGAGATTTCTGCAACTTTAGCTTCCAGTACTTATATTGAGTTTCATTTCCACTATCATTTTTAATTTCAAGGAGCTCTTTTTTTAGGTTCTTTGAATATTAGTTTTAAATAATGGCATTTAGGTTTTTATTTTGTGGTTGCAATATCTTCTCTTAACTCTGAGATATCACTTTTTTTTTTTTTAAGTTTTCTTCTCCCTGTGGATTCTCTCGTGTCCTCTGAATTGCCTTGTTTTGCTTAATTTGGTCTCCATTTTTTATGTTAGGGGCATTCTTCAAGTGTCTGGTGATACCTGAGTGTCTGATCACAGCTAAGAGTAAGACATTAACTAGCTGATTACAAACCTGTGGCTATGCTTGCCAATGTGGGGTTCACTATGGAGTGAACTGGGTGGACCATTGGGGGACTCTGATGCCAGCATCTTTAGATCCTTCTCCTTAGGCTGGTCGGATTCTCCAGAGAAGAATCATCTTATCATCTTCTTGCAGGGTGCTAGTCTGGCTGGCAGTTTCTTAGGAACCAGAGGGAAAAAAGGTCTGGGGAGGGAGGTGTCAGCATTTGGCCTATAAAGACCTCTGTCTTCTGAAGGTTAGTCTTATTATCAACTATGCCTGATGCTCCCTAGTCCACAGACCCTCCGTTTACCCTTCTGCCAGAGTCAAGGAAAGTCTTACAATTATTCATAGAGGCCAGTTGTGGTAGCTTATGCATGTAATCCCAGCACTTTGGGAGGCTGAGGTAGGAGGATCCCTTGAGCCCAGGAGTTTAAGACCAGCCTGGACAACATAGGGAGATCCCATCTTTAAAAACAAAACCAAAAACCCCTCCAAAGCTCCTAAATAAGTACTCACAGATGAGGAGGGGACCTGATTCAGCTCCTTCTGAAATAGACTTTTAACCCCTCCTGTCATTCTTACCCTCACCCCCACTGCCAGAGGTACACAGTGCTACTAGTTCCTGGGGTTCTTTGGTGTAACTTGTCTGCTGAATCACTAGTCTGCAAGTATGTCCATCTATTCTCCCGCTTTCACGTTTTCTCTCCTGTTCTCTTTCTCTTTGTGGGTGTGTGCCTTTTAAAAAATTTCAGTCCATTCACTGATGTTTTAGTAGGGTTTCAGGAAAGAACGAAAGTGAATGCATATGTTTAATCTGCTCTCTTTACCCGGAAGTCTCCCAGCTGAGGTTTTATGACCACTTAAACAGCTAAAAACTGTCTGGGTCAGTTAACATTACAGAGAGCTGGTTCTTGGCATCCTTAGAATACTATGCCACCCTTCAGTTTTCATCTCAGAAATCTTAGGGAGATAGTGACTAATCAAGGCAGGGAACTGTGACCCTGAATAATGATATGCAGAGAATCTGTTATGTACGTAATTACCCTGCAGTAGTAAGGTTACTTAGGAACCATCATGTAAGTAAATCCATTTCTGGGTTTGATGCATGAGTAAGTTGGCAGCTTGCATCAGGGCTGTCTATCTTGTCTTGAATTGTAAGTTTCTGGAGCCAAGGCAAGCACTTAGAAATGCTGTTTGCAAATTAAAAAAAACACGCTTATAGGGTATTAAGGTGATCTTTTGTATCATCATTGTTAACCACAGTTGGAACATTATTTTCATGTACTTTTAAATACTGAGGGTTTCAGAAAGATAGACACCCTTGGGCTTGAACTGTGCAGTACTTAATTATGCTCTTAATAGTTTTCACCCCTGGATTCCTTGTATTAGGGAAAGTTTAATACCTAGGACATAATGTATTAAATGTATTTTTTGACAGTTTTTGATGCTTTAACTGAACAAACTTTTTTTTTTTTTTTTTTTTTTTTTGGATGGTTTCTCACTCTTGTCGCCAAGGCTGGAGTGCAGTGGTGCGGTCTCGGATCACTGCAACCTCTGCCTCCTGGATTCACGTGATTCTCCTGCCTCAGCCTCCAAAGTAGCTGAGATTACAGGTGCCTGCAACCATGTCTGGCTAATTTTTGTATTTTTAGTAGAGACAGGATTTCAACTATCTTGGCCAGGCTGTTCTCAAACTCTTGACCTCGGATGATTCACCTGCCTTGGCCTCCCAAAGTGCTGGGATTACAGGTGTGAGCCACCGCACCTAGCCTGAACAAACATTTTTTAAACACCAGCTGTCTGTTACATGCTATGGGTGGTCATAAAGGGCATGTAATACATTGCATATTGTTAGAAATAAAAGGAATTTGGTCTAGTTTTTGAAAAACCTGTCTTAAAAATCTTATTTTTAAAATTACAAATCTTATTTTCTTTATGTGTGTGTGTGTGTGTGTGTGTGTGTGTGTGTGTGTATTTAAATTTTAGATATGGTGTCTCACTGTGGTACCCAAGCTAGTCTTGAACTCTTTGCCTCAAGTGATCCTCCCACCTTGGCCTCCCAAAGTGCTGGGTTACAGATGTGAGCCACTGCTCTCAGCCTCTTTTTTCTTTTTATTAGTCTTGTTGATATGAGAATTACTGGAAATTCTAGGAGTCAACCCTGACCTTATGCAAAAGGCATCATAGTTTCTGCCCAGTGAGGTCTCAAAAACATTATATTCTCAAGTTAGTCCATTTTTTTTTATCTTATAGACAATGGTAAATAATTTGCAATGTTTTCTTTTCTTTCTTTTTTTTTGAAACTTTGTTGCTCAGGCTGGAGTGCCGTGGTGGGATCATAGCTCACTACAACCTCAACCTCCTGGGATCAATCAATCCTCCTACCTCAGCCTCCCGAGTAGCTGAGATTACAGGTGTGTGCCACAATGCCCGATTCATTTTGTTGTAGAGATGGAGTTTCGCCATGTTGCTCAGGCTTTTTTGTTTTTTCTTTTTTTTTTTTTTTGAGACGGAGTTTCGCTCTTGTTACCCAGGCTGGAGTGCAATGGTGCAATCTCGGCTCACCGCAACCTCCGCCTCCTGGGTTCAGGCAATTCTCCTGCCTCAGCCTCCCGAGTAGCTGGGATTACAGGCACGCACCACCGTGCCCAGCTAATTTTTTGTATTTTTAGTAGAGACGGGGTTTCACCATGTTGACCAGGATGGTCCCGATCTGCTGACCTCGTGATCCACCCGCCTCGGCCTCCCAAAGTGCTGGGATTACAGGCTTGAGCCACCGCGCCCGGCCTTTGTTTTTTCTTTATTGGTTTTATTTCTATTTTTTCTAGGACCCTGATCAGGTTGGGCTTTGGTTTTGAGATGTTTTTACAGTAATCATTTAGATTATAGAATAACAGTGTGAAAGCACTGCATTAATATTTCATGACCCTACATAGCACTACATTCATGCTGCATTTAAAAACTTCGTGTTATTATTTTACAAATCAATATATAAATTACAGAGTTTTTAAAAAATTTCATCTTGAAGCTGAGGGAGGATAAGCTAAATTTACTAATTTTGGTAAGAATTTGCTTAAGCACATTCAACTAAAAGACAAGGATGTGTTTGAAGTAATTCCTCAACCTTAACTTTAACACACAGGTTAAGAGTGCAGGCTCAAGGGCCAGACCTGAAAGTGTAACCGGCTCCTCCTCTGGCTGATTGTGTGACACTGGACAACTTAACTCCCAACAGCCTGAATTTCCTTTCCAATAAAGTGAGATTAATAGTACTCATTTCAAAGGGCTATAAGGATTAAATGAGATGTATATAAGATAAAGAGCACTTATGACGGACAGGGCCTGTCACATAAGTGCTCTTTAAGGGTTAGCTATGGCTGGGCGTGATGGTGTAGAGTTATTCTCTGAAGGCCAACATGGTTTGAAGCCTCAGCCACTCACCGGATCAGGAAGAGCAGGTCCAGGTAGGCTGTTCTTGCCATGTCCACTTGGGCACCAGACAGGAAGGAATCATGGAGAAAGTCACCCGAGTTAGTCAAGATTCCGTGTATGGCATGGAGGTCACAGAGACGCTTGAGCACCTGCTGAATCGCTGGTTCATTTTCTAGTTTCTCCAGAGCTTCTGCAAAACCCTTCACAGTGACATAGTAGCAGTGTGCCTACAAAGACACAAAGATATGTTCTCCTGATTTCTGATTTTCTACTCCAGAAATCATCCTGTAAGCTTGGCCAGATGGCTGGAATAAACTTGAGGCAGGCATGTGCTTCCCAGCAGGCTGATGAGCAGCTGCCTTTTTTCCTAGCTCACTCTGAGGCTGATCAAGCCTTTTTGATGGCGTGTATATGTTTGTGTGTGTGTGGGGGGGTTGGGGGGCTGGTGGACTTTGAAACATGGCTCTTGTTTTCTTCATTTTGCTTGGAGCAGTTTCAAGGTGGTTGGAAAGTTGAGAGAAAGAATACAGGCATATTGGAGGCTGGCCTGGGGAAGGTGGAGGACAGCACCACTGTTATTAAGAAAATAGGTATTTAAAACCCGGTGCAGTGGCTCACACCTGTAATCTCAGCACTTTGGGAGGCCAAGGTGGGTGGATCACTGCGGTCAGAAGTTCAAGACCAGCCTGGCCAACATGGCAAAACCCTGCCTCTAAAAAATACAAAAATTAGCCCAGCATGGTGGTGCATGCCTATAATCCCAGCTGCTTGGGAGGCTGAGGCAGGAGAATCACTTGAATCCAGGAGGCGGAGGTTGCAGTGAACCAAAATTGGGTCATTGCACTTCAGCTTGGAAAACAAGAGCAAAACTCCATCTCAAAAAAAAAAAAAAATAGCTATTTGTTGTCTGCCATGTTCAAGTCAGTGGTGTATGTATATGCACATGTGTGTGCACTGTGGGGTGAGAAAATAAGAGTTCAAGATGTATATGAAATTTATCCCAGCCAGAGTATAAACTTCTTAAGGTAAGCAGTGCTGTTATTTAGTGCATATGTAATGGTCTGGCTGTGTCAGTTGTTAAAATAATACTTTAATACCAGTTGGCAAGTGTCCACTGCCATCAACCCTGTGAGAGCTCCTCCTGCCAGATGGGCTCCTTCCCGAAGACCCCCTCCTTCCCTCCACAGCCCAGCAACTAATGCTTGACCCAGCAGAAGGCCTTCAGGACGTTGCTTCCCCTAGGCCTGAAGTCCAGTTGATCGGTTGCCTTGTCCTGTGAGTTGTTAATATTTTGAACAGTCCCCATCTCGTCAAGACAAGCACATGTAATTATTTTGTCAGGTAGGATATATGAGTTCCACAAGGGAGAGCGAGGAATAGAGAGAGTGTAAAGCAGTGCTTCATAATTTTACTTTTTATTTTTGAGATAGAATCTCACTCTGTCACCCAGGCTGAATTACAGTGCTGTGATCTCCACTCACTGCAACGTCTGCCCCGCTGGGCTCAAGCAATTCTCCCACCTCAGCCTCCCGAGTAGTTGGGGCCACAGGCACATACCACCATGCCAGGCTATTTTTTTTTTTTTGTATTTTTAGTAGAGATAAGGGTCTTGTCATGTTGCCCACACTGATCTTGGACTCCTGAGCTCAAGTGATGCTCCTTCCTTGGCTTCCCAAAGTGCTGGGATGACAGGCATGAGTCTCTGGACCCAGCCAGCTTCTCAGTTTTTTGTGTGCATATAGATCACCTGGGGATCTTGTCAAAATGCAGATTCCAAGGCAGGGGTTAAGACTGTGCATTTCTTTTTTTGATATGGAGTTTCGTTCTTGTTGCCCAGGCTGGAGTGCAATGGTGCGATCTTGGCTCACCGCAACCTCCACCTCCTGAGTTCAAGTGATTCTCCTGTCTCAGTCTCCTGAGTAGCTGGGATTATAGGCATCCACCACCACGCCCAAATAATTTTGTATTTTTTACTAGAGAGGGGTTTCTCCATGTTGGTCAGGCTGCTCTCGAACTCCTGACCTCAGGTGATCTGCCTGCCTCAGCCTCCCAAAGTGCTGGGATTACAAGCATGAGCCACTGCGCCTCACCTAAGACTGTGCATTTCTAATGAGGTCCCCTGTGATGCCCGTGCTGCTGTAGTGATTTTCAGTAGCAAGACTTAGAGTGTTTTGCGGGGGATTGGCTGGACACTGTGGCTCATACCTGTAATCCCAGCACTTTGGGAAGCTGAGGTGGGTGGATCACTTGAGGTCAGGAGTTCAAGACCAGCCTGGCCAACATGGCGAAACCCTGCCTCTAAAAAATACAAAAATTAGCCAGGTGTGTTGGTGCACACCTGTAATTCTGGTTACTTGGGAGGCTGAGGCACAAGAATCGCTTGTGCCTGGGAGGTAGAGGTTGCAGTGAGTTGAGATGGCGCCACTGCACTCCAGCCTGGGTGACAGAGTGAGACCCTGTCTTAAAAAAAAAAAAAAAAAAAAGCATCTTGGGGTTTCAAAGGAGTTCACCCAATGGGACGTGAATTGGGGGAAAGGTCATTCCAGGCAGGGTGAACATTTTGTGCAAAAGACTGTACTTTCAGGAATCTACAGGCAATTTAATGAGGCTGAAGTGTGGGGGTATAATGAGGTGATGATGGGGAACTGTGGAGGTTAGGGTGGACCCATACCTGGGGCCCAGGTCAGTGAAGGGCTGTGAATGACAGGGTCTGGATTTGTTCTGTGGGACCAGGAGTCTTCAGCAGGACAGTGACCCGATTCGTTTTCCTCACTTGGAAAGAACCTGTGTTTCCTAGGGGCTCTCACACAGGTGCTGACTACTCCACTGTGCCATGCAGACATGGTGTGCTCACAGCCTGCTGAGCTTGCAGCATTTGGCTGTGGGAGGTGAGCAGATGTGCTACGTTGCCTCTGCTGGCTCCATTAGCCATTGCTGCTCAGACTGGGTCCAGCTTGGCAGAACTGTAGACCCACACTCCTTTTCCTATCCTAACCCGAGAGCCACATCCTCAAATGCTCAAGCGTCTGAGTTGAGGGGTAGAGTGATGGAGAGCTGCCCAAGGGTCTGGGTCTCTGCCTTAAGCAGGATAAGGATCAGAGACAGAGGTGACCTTTACGCTTTGGGGAAGGGCTGAGCCGAACCTTGGCCCCATGCTCTGAGCACAGTGAACATTATTTACATTGTGTGTGTTGGTTGAAATCTTGCCTCCTGTCTAATTTGGGTGTAGGGGTGCGATATATAGCACTTACATGCTAGCTGCCTCTCACATTTTACATGTGTTAACTCATTTAGTCATCATCAGAATCCTACAAAGTAGGTACTGTTATTAGTTCCATCTTGCAGATGAAGAGACTGAGGCTCTGAGAAGTTTTTTGCCCAAGCTGATAGCTAGAAAGTGGTGGCAGTGAGATCCACACCAGGGCTGTATTCCTAACCCTGTGTGGCCAAAGCCACAGGAGAGCAGCTGGATTATAATGAGGCCAGCATTTGTTCCTGTCGTCCTGGGGACTGACATCTCTTCTGGTCAGTCCGAATTATAGGATCAGAGCCTGTCAGAGTCTAAAGGGCTCTTCCATGCCCCTTTGTTTACAGACAGGGAAGTTAAAGCCAGAGAGGGAGGGGGTGCTTGAGGTCACACAGAACTGGGACCGGAATTTAGCCTGTGGCTCCCCCTTGTCTACTTTTCTGTCAGTATCATCCCCCCTTCCCCCAAATTGCGGTTATCTCTACCTGCACATTTATGGTTTCCAGATGGGGCCCTGTTGAGTGCTGAAGCTTTCTGTAGACTAGATAACCTCACAAAGCACAGAGAGTACAGAAAGCCCTATCCATTTATGACCTTGGAGAATTAGCTGGGGCACCACCTCTCGAGGAAACTGTCAGGGATGTGTTCTTCCCCCGCAGGCTCACCTCTGTCACTCATCACACCCTTGGTGGTGTGGGAAGGAAAAGCATCTGGACTCAGCCATTTCCTACCTCTGGGACCTAACTCCTGAGTTCTCTTTCCTCACCCTTGAAGTGGAGATGACGTCAGTCTCCCTCCCTGGGTTGTGTGGATTCAATGAAGTAACCCTGGCAAGCAGCATCTGGTCCATTTGAAGTCAGGCCATAGGTTTCACGGAAAATGGATGAGTGGATGATGGGAGGCTGTGGTTCCTGTTTTGGTGATCCAGAGAAGGCACGAAGCCTTGGCTAACCCTCTGTGTTTACAGGACAGTTAGCACAGCAGGGGGTGCCCTTGCTGTGGGCTGAGCAGAACTGAGGACTGCAGGGTTAATACCGGCACCCGTGGTGTGGTGGAGGTGATGGTTCACATGGTGGTGCTCATGCCCAGCCTGCCCCACCAGCCCTGTCCCACGAGGGCGTCTGCAGCCCTTCAGGGCTCTCCTGTTCCAAAGCTGCCATTTTCTGGGTCTGAGGCCTGAGGCCTTTAGTTTTCCAGTTATTGGCAGGGCCAGAGTCCCAGCTGCATAAGCTAGAACTCGGGAATTGTTCTTACCCCTTTCCCATGCCAGCACTCTGAGGGCTGTCCCTGCCTTCTTTCCCCTTGGCATCTCTGATCTACCCACTTGTCTCCAGGCTCTCTGCCATGATCATGGTCGGGACCACCCTCAGTCCTCGCCCAGACTTGTTCCCTTCTAACTGGCCTCTAGCCTCCTGTCCATTCCTCCCCCTGCAGCCTGCATGATTCTTCTAGAATGAAACTGATTAACCCAACTCCAAACAAACTCAGCAAAGGCATTGCAATGAAAACAAACCCCCAACTTTTCACAGTGGTACAAAAGGTCGGAGGAGGCCTTGCCTGTCTCTCCTCCTCCCCTTGTCTCAGTCCCCCTCCTTAGGTCCTCCTTAGGAGATTTGTACTTTCTCCCGAGCACACCAGGCTTCTTGCTGCCTCCTTGGCATGCACAGCTCCCTTTGCCCGGAAACTCTTCTCTCCAGAGCTGCTGCCCCACTGTTTGACTGGTTAATTTCAGCTTATCCTTGAAGTCTTAGCCTATATGCCACTTTCTGACTCCTCCAGGTGGGCAGAAATGAACCTGCTCTGGGATTCAACAGCAGCCTGTATTTCCCTGCCATGGTGCTTCCTTGATTATAGCTGTGTATGGGCAGTGGCTTCACTGTTGAGCACCCAGCTCAGTGCCTAGTGCAGAGTGGGTGCTCAAATATTTGCCAACTGACTGTGAATTATGCACAAACACAAAACGGAGTGGAAATTGAATCAGACATCCAAGGATTGCCTGTGGGGCTAAGGGGAGACTTGACCTGCTTTTCTATCTGGGAGGAAATATTTGAACAACCTGAAGCAAATCCAATAACACTGCCTCATTACCTTTTCCCCTAAGAGCTGCCAGCAAGATTGCTTTGGAGTTAAGTCCTTTAATTAAAATACGCTGGACTAAAAGCCTAAGAAGTGAAATGAGGGCAGCTGCTGGCAAAGCAGAGTTTGGGAATAATGGCAGAACCTGGATTTTCCCAGCAGGGTAGCCTGCCTGGGAAACAAAAACGGATCCCTTTTAGCTTCAGCTGGCGGGAGCTCACCTTAGCAGCCTGGAGGTGTATGACAGTGGTCTGGTTCCAGGCCTCGTGCTGGTCAGCTCCGGATTGCGTCAGGGTCTGTAAATGGTGCACTGAGTCCTTTATCAGCCTGAAGGACAAAGAAAAAAAGGTTCAGCTTCCTGACTGAGTGGAAAAGACAACGGATGGGCTTCCTGTGGTTCCTCAGCAGTAGAAATAATGCCTATTTATTGACCACTTGTGTGCCATCAAGCTAAATGATTGATATTCATTATCTCTAACTCTTTTAAGGGCAGGCATCCCCCAGTTTGCATTGGGGAAAACTGAGTCCCAGAGAGGTTAACTAATTTGTCTAGGGTCACACAGCTGATAAGGAGCAGAGCCAGGATTTTGACTTGTTCTTTTTTTTTTTTTTTTTTTTTTCTGAGTCAGTCTCACTCTGTCCCCCAGGCTGGAGTGCAGTGGTTGGATCTTGGCTTACTGCAACCTCCGTCTCCCGGGCTTAGGTAATCCTCCTGCTTCAGCCCCCTGAGTAGCTAGGATTACAGGTGTGCACCACCATGCCCGGCTAATTTTTGTATTTTTAGTAGAGCTAGGGTTTCACCATGTTGACCAGGTGGTCTCAAACTCCTGACCTCGTGATCCACCTGCCTCGGCCTCCCAAAGTGCTGGGATTACAGGTGTGAGCCACTGTGCTGGCCTTGACTTAATCACCATGTTATAAAGCTTCAGAGCCATAGGCCAGGTGCTGTACCCTATTTCTAATGCAGATTCCAGCCTGACACCAGTATGTTCAAGCTTTTCTGTTGACTGACATCCTATGGCCTGAGCAAGGAGAATGGTTTTTCTGTAAAGGCCAGAGGGGCCTGTCGGTCACCTAGCCTGTTGTAGGTTCTACCCAAGAGACCTAAAAACAAAAATAGAAAACCAACCTTTGTCCTCCAAACCACTAAATTAGTCATTTGCCATTTTATTCACCTTTAATCCCTCTTATTTTTTCATTCCCTGCCCGTCCATCCATGACCCTTGGAATTTGTGTGTAAAGCAAACTGTTTATTAAGCAATGTTTTTTTGCTTTGCCAGGGAATAGATAAGCAGAGGTCACACTGAGTTTCAAGCAAGGAGAAATATCATGACACTTTAATTACCTCGAGCAGCCTTATTTTTCCCTCCTCAAATCTCCCAGAAATGTTAGCTTGGTGAGGTCTGGGGTGTTTATCGGGTCCCCAATGCCTAGAACAGTGCATGCCATGTTATAGGCAGTTAATAAATACTTTTGGAATAAATAAATGAATGTTCCAAGTTGCTTGTGATCTTGAAATAACTATTAACCATCCTTGGGACCACAGGTTGGGATATAAAGCCTCTGACTATATACTGAAAATACGTTGTTCCAGTTTGTTTTTGGTGTTTCTTTTTTTTTTTAATTAAAATTTTTTTTGTATTTTTAGTAGAGGTGGGGTTTCACCATGTTGCCCAAGCTGGTCTCAGACTCCTGAGCTCAAGCAATCCACTCACCTCAACCTCCCAAAGTACGGGAATTATGGGTGTGAGCCACCAGGCCCAACCTATTTTTGGTGTTTTAATTTGGGCAGGGTTCACAAGGTTTTCTTTTTAGGTAGTTAAATCTCTCCATCTTTTCCATGGTGGTGTCTGTATTTGGTCAGGATCTCTCTTTATTTCCTGCCCCTGGCATGTTTGGTCATTCCTAACACATAGTAGGTAGTGAACAATATGTTGAATGACAGAATGGATGGGTCCTTGGTTTTGTCCATGTTCCCTGGAACCTCCTAGACCCTGGAAATAAATGAATTCTATCCTGTGGTATAGTCATATTTTCAAAAATTATTTTTAAATTGTGGGATATTGCAAACATGTGAGTATTGCTTTATTGGCATTTGCATATCAATATATTTGTAGTATTGACATATGGGTACACTTACTGTATTGCAAATCAACATAGGACCCTAGAGATTTAAAAGATATCTCACTGGCCAGAGGCGTGATGTCCTTCTACTACTGTGACCAGGATGGGGAAGTGATGGGGCTCCATGGCTGAGGGGGGGCTTCCCCCTCTCTCTGCCCACGGTGGCAGGAACTGAGAGGACCGAGGAGGCTAGGCACAGGGTGGTTTTTAGAACTGAATCCACGAATGTCCAACCAACCAATCCCAAAGGCCCTAGTGTGGCATGGAGCCTGTCCCCAGGTGGGATGGCTGATTTCTCAGCACTGGCTTACCTTGCTGCCACGTGTGCCCAGGCCGTGGTGTAGAGCTCTGGGCAGAGGAAGTCAGCTGCCCTCTGGGCTGGACACCTGGCCAGGACAGGTGCTGTGAGATAGGCGACAGATGGAGGGAGAGATCTCTGTTGCGCGGAGCCAGCGGACATCTGAGTCTGCAGGTAGTTCTTCACCAGAAACCTGGGGGGTGGAAGGGGAGGCAGGAAGAGGGGAGAGACTCTGTGGGACAGCCCAGCACCCCTCATTCCCAAAGACAGGCATGCTCATGCCGGGTCCCCACCTTCCCGTGGGAGAGCCGCATCACCCGGCCTCCGCCTGGTCTCCCTCCTGAGGGTTTTCCCTTGGGTCCTCCTGCCTCGAGGCCCTCAGTGAGGCACACCCCAGGACCTGTGGAGCTGGATTTGACTCTCTCAGATCCTGAACATAAACCCTTCTGTGATCTGAGCAAACAGAATTTCCCTCAGAACATTGCGATTTGGGGATTTATAATGACTTGTACAGTGACTGGGTAGAAATTAAATTTTCTTAGCTGAAAAAAGAAGGATAGAGGCAAGAATGCTAACAGGAATAGGAGGATTATAGGTGACTCTCAGCTGCTGCTTTAGGCTAATCCAGTGGTTACAGGTCCTGGGCTCAGACAGCCCTGGATCCCATGCAGCCCTGCTGAGACCTGTGTGATGCTGCAGAAGTAGCTCTACTTCCTAAGGCTGAGCTTCTCCAGCTCTAGGTGGGGAGGACAGTTCTCATGTGATGGGGGGTGATGAAGTGGAATGAGATGATATTTGTAGAGTGCTCAGCACAGTGCTGGGCCCAGAGTACATAATATGTGCTATTGTATTCCTTTTGTAATTTGAAGAAAAACCAAGGGATGTTATATGTTTTTAAAAATCTAATAAATGTATTTTGTATTTGCCAGTGAAATTCTTTCTCCTTGCATTTACCCTGTTTGGTCACCTGAGAATAGGTGAGTGTGAGGTTCTGTTGGCCTCAAGGTCCTACAGACCTAAAAGGGATCAAAAGAAGCCGCCTATGTGGAGGAGGCTGACTTGGCTGTAGCTTTCTGCCTCGGGGTTGGAGCCTCTGTGTGCAGGCTCTGCACCAAGGCTGGGCGATGCTGCAGTGAGCAAGGTAGGGGTAGTCCCTGCCCTCAGGGAGCTCCTAGTCTAGTTGGAGAGCAGAGCTAAAAAGGTGGACAAAAAAATGAGATGATGGTAGACTATGAAACTGCTTCAAAGGAAACAAGGCCATGTTGGGAGGGAAGGAAGCAAATGCAAAAGCCTCCTGGACAGAAAGAAGTGTGTGGCCAGCAGAAGTGAGCTGAGGTGGCCCGGCACAGTGGTTCACGCCTGTAATCCCAGCACTTTGGGAGGCCGAGGCAGGCAGATCACGAGGTCAAGAGATTGAAACTGTCCTGGCCAACGTGGTGAAACCCCATCTCTACTAAAAATACAAAAATTAGCCAGGCATGGTGGTATGTGCCTGTAATCCCAGCTACTCGGGAGGCTGAGGCAGGAGAATCACTTGAACCCCGGGAGTGGAGGTTGCAGTGAGCTGAGATTGTGCCACTGCACTCCAGACTGGGCGACAGAGTGAGATTCCATCTAAAAAAAAAAAAAAAAAAGAACTGAGCAGAGGTAGGAGGTAGTGAGAGCAGGATGGAGTATGGACAGGAAGGCAGGGGTCAGGTCTCATGGACCTTGCAGGCCATAGCATAGAATGTGGCATTTTCCTACAAGCACTGGAAGCCATTGAATTTTAAACCAGAGAAAGATGTGATCTTTTCTAGGCTCTGAAAAGATCCCTGTGGGTCCCTGTGGAGAAGTGGAGAAGGGCAGAAGCAAGTGACGAGGGAGGAGTCTGAGGCTGTGGTGGAGGTGAGAGAGGATGGTGTCCTAGAAATGGGTAGCTTGGTCATATTTGGGGGAATTGGACAGCTCCCAAATGGTGCTTCCCAAAGCCTGCTCCCTTTATGGGCATCAGACAGAACCCTCCACCCAGCAGAAGCTTGGTGTGTCCCCAAGGGCTTGGGCAAAGGCCTGGGTCAGTCTGGATCTTACCTGGCCACCTGCAGGTAGAGCACTGTGTTCTCACCCTCATAGGTGCAAGAGGCGGACACTTTGGTGACCAGTGATGGCAGGCCACTCAGCTTGGAGTAGCCATGTCCGCCACAGGCCCTGCGGCACATCTCAGCCCCCTGGGTGCAGAAGTCTGACATCATGGCCTTCATGCCTGTGCTCAGTGCATGGAGCTGTGAGAACACAGAGGGGCTGGGCGGTGTAAAGGGACCTTCACCATGGGGGCCAACCCTGTGCACCACTTACAGAGCATCTACTGTATGCCCAGCTCAGCTCTGAAGCAAGAAGTGTTTCCTCTGCTCACAACTTTATTAATGAGAAGGTGGGAACTAAGGTTATGTGACTCACCCAGAGACACACAATTAGGCAATGTAGCTGTAGGGGCATAAGAGCAAAGGAGCTGGGCACAGTGGCTCACATCTGTAGTGCCAGCACTTTGGGAGGCTGAGGCGGGTGGATCACAAGGTCGGGAGTTTGAGATCAGCCTGGCCAACATGGTGAAACCCCATCTCTGCTAAAAATACAAAAATTAGTGGGGCATGGTGGTATGTGTCTGTAATCCCAGCTACTCGGGAGGCTGAGGCAGGAGAATTGCTTGAACCTGGGGGGTGCAGGGGTGCAGAGGTTGCAGTGAGCCAAGATTGTGCCACAGCACTCAGGCAAGACTCTGTCTCAAAAAAAAAAAAAAAAAAAAAAGAGCGAAGAAAACCTGGCCTGGCCAGTGTCTCCAGGATTGGGAAGAGGGTGCTGCCTGGATTGAGTCCACAAGCCTCCAGGAGATATGAATTTTGCTGGAATGGGTTTTAGAAAGCTAGCCTGTGAGGATGGGTGTCCACGGTCAGCCCATTTATGGGTGGTAGGAGGGCGATAGGGTCTGAATGTGTCCACCTGAAATTCTTATGTAGAAATCCTAGCCCCCAAGGCGATGGTATTAGGAGGTGGGGCCTTCAGGAGGTGATTAGGTCATGAGGGTGCCCTCATGAAAGAAGCCGCTTCTACCATATGAGGTCATAGCAAAAAGACAGCCATCTATGAACCAAGAAGCAGGCCCTCACCTGACACCAAATGCGCTAGAGCCTCAATCTTGGACTTCCCAGCCTCCAGAATTGTGAGAAATAATTTTTTTTTTTTTTGAGACAGGGTCTCACTCTGTTGCTCAGGCTGGACTGGAGTGCGATGGCACAGTCATAGCTTGGTGGATCCTCGAACTCCTGGGCTCAAGGAATCCTCCCACTGCAGCCTCCTAAGTAGTAGCTGGGACTACAGGTGTGTGCCACCATACCTGACTAATTTTTCAATTTTTTTGTGTGGAGATGGGTTCTGACCATCTTGCTGAGGCTGGTCTCAAGCAATCCCCCTGCCCTGGCCTCCTAAAGTGCTGAGATTACAGGTGTGAGCCACCATGCCTGGCCAGATTCTGTTATTTATAAACCACTGCTTTATGGTATTTTGTTACAGCAGCCCAACAGAGACAGAGGCTGGCAGGCAGCAGCCTGGTTTGAGATTTTGGTTCTTGAAGCCCCTACCTATCTTTGGAACTTTCAAGTCCTTGGGAGAAACGTTGTGTCCCTTGATCTCTCTGTGCCTCAAATGCAGTTGGAAGGGTTAACAGTGCTAATAGAGCGTGCTACCTGGACAGACCGAATCTTACTGGGAATATAAGTCCACAATGCTTTACCGGAGACCTGTGAGCCAGGTGTATTTAGGAATCAGTAACTTTTGAATTGTAGACAGGCAAGTGGTTAAGGTACATTACATATAATAGCCCCAGTGGGGTTTGGGGTTGCCTTAGTGATTAAACACATTAATAATTTTACTGAAAAATGTATTCACACTCAGACAGATTAATCAGGTCAGTTCAGGTCCAACTATGCCACCAAATGAGTTCCAAACAACTGTTTATCTGGGCTTTTTGGGTTTCAAATACACATCAGGGGTTGTGGACCTGCGCTCTTTATACTAGGTGTGAGTGTCTCCTGTTAGCATGTTTGTGGCTCTCTGGGGGCCAGTTGTGGGTAAATTTATTTATCAGGGTACTGTTCACCCAGATGCCATGGGATGCCAAAAGCTGGGAGAGGTGGGGATGGGGAGTGCCCATGGGGATGGGGTTATGGCTGCTCCCCCTCGCCCGGCCAGCACCTGCTCCTCTGCAGACAGCAGGTACCTCAGGCAGGATGCTGAAGTCCCTGTTCAGAATGGCACTGTAGGAGCGCTGGAAGAACTCCAAGAGGCTGACTGCCAGGAAATGGAAGGCATAACTGATGGCCAGCTGAGGAAAGAGCTTCTGTTGCTGCGTCTGGTAGTCCAGGACCTTTGCCTCTTGGTCACTGAGGGGAAAAGAAGAGGAAGATTTAGATCGCTACATGCTGTATCCACCTTTCCCTATCCCTAACACCATAAAAGCCTTAAAAACAGACGGTTCCTTAGAACTCATTGCAAAACTTGACCTGAACTGACATGAGTCTATGTATGATCCTTTAAGAATCCCATCTAACATGAACATCCACATATTTCACTGCAGAAATACTGACACGTTTGCTGGTGGTATTGCCCCTTGTTAAGGGAGGCTGACAGAATTCCGGCAAATACAAGGTATTATCCTAAAACCTGAAACGTTCTGAATTCCAGCATGTCTGGTCCCAAGATTTCAGGTGAAGAGCTGTGGCCCTGCACCCCCGAAGATCTGAACCTGTGACCTTCCACCGCCCATGTGCACTTGCTGTGTGCTGACTATGTCAAGCCTAAACAGTAACTCTTAGGTGTAAACTCGGTCCGACGAAACCCCAAGGAAAGGAAAACCTGGTCTGGCCAGCGTCTCCAGGATTGGGAAGAGGGTGGGAGTGTGTCTGCCTTATCCACTGCCATGTCCTCAGTGCCCGAGACTGTGTCCAGCATTTAGGACCTCGCAGTAACGGGATTGAAAGAGCATGTGATTATAAGAGGCCTCCTCTCTGGGCAGCAGTTGCTCACCTGATGCATCCTTCTTATAACGTCCCTGAGGACACTTCAGCAGCCCAGATAAATGGGCCATGGGCGGGACAGCAGCCGCAGCCCCTTCTTCCCAGTGGCCCCATCCTCCAGAGAACACTCCCAGCCTGGATTCTGAAGCCCAGGCCTACTGAGGACACTGTGGGCTTGCCAGAGGAAAGGACCCTGGACTGAGGGCCTAGTGCACCTTATTGCATTTCACCCTCCACACCCCCTGAAAGGCTGCTTCTGTCCACCCCTTTTGTAGCTGAGGAAGTTGAGAGATGAAGTGGCCAAGCTGAGTGTGCACAGTGGGTTCAGTCAGCCCTTGCTGTTCTGTGCTGTGGGGTGGAGGGAGTGGTAGCAACACAACCAATTACAACAAAAGGGACCCAGATGTAGACATACCACAGTCAGATGCTGACAGCACAGCCAGGCAGAACGAGTTCAGCCACACACAGTCGATATGACATTGGGTTTTGCTAGGCTCGGCCTGACAGAATCAACTCAGCCAGCCAGAGTCTGACGCAGCTGGCAACTGGCTGACCCAGACCCGCTGAGCCCGTCATAGCCACACAGCACACAGCTGGACTCAGACAGACACAGAGTCAGACAGACCTGGTACTACAGGGCTAAAGACACAGTCACATAGAGCCCGAGGGGGCCAGGCACTGGGGACACAGTTTAGGCCGGCTGGTCAGTCCTGATAGAAGGAGCTAGAGAGGCCCCTCTGACATGGCCAGATGGGACCAGGCCTGGGCAGATTTTGTGAGTGTGTGTTGGTGGGGGCAGAGCCTGCTTCCAGCACTCTAGCTCTGGCAGAAGGGTGGGGTCAGGGGAAGGCACTGTGGGACTGAGAAGCGGCATGTCTGCGGTGGTCAGCCGCTGGGCACCCCTTGCCTGGGCCGGAGCTGGGATTGGCGGCGGATGACTGAGTAGCGCATGGCGATGACACAGGCCTTCTGCAATAGAGGGAGGATCTCCCCCAGCAGCAGCTCCACCCGCACCACCACCATGGGAAGGTAGTTGCTCTGTGCTGTTCCGAGTTTGACGTAGGTGCCATCTGGCAAGACCTGTTGGAACAAGGACAGACACAGGGTCTGAGCCCAGGCTCCCCAGGATTCCCCCCACTTCCCAGAGCTGTGGGGCTCCACACGTGGAGGGCACCTCACCCTCAACCTGCTCATGTGGAGTTGGAATGTTCAAATACCAGGCCACTTCCCCAAGTGTCCTGGTTCACAGCGCCTCTCTTGGGACACCCTGGACCTCCCCACAACCCATAACTAAAAGGGTGATGGCTGGCAGAATTGGGACCTTCAGAACTCCTGCTGGCACTCTGGGTGGTGTGTGTTCAGGCCTCACTGTGGGTAAATATGCAGATCACCTCAGCCCTGTCCTCTCCTGGGGCTGCCACCCAACTGCTGTGATTGCTCTGTCAGCCCATGTGATGAGCATTTCTGCATGAGAAGTCTGAGGCTCTGTGGCCAAGATCATACTGCTCCTAAGCTGGGGTTTTACCCCAGCCTGTGGGATGTCAGAACCTCTCTTGGGGGGAGGGGGTTATGTGGCCCAAACTCAGCTCTATGGAGGACCTACACCCAGCCTCCACAAAGCTCAGGTCCCCTCTCCAGGAAGTACAAATCCCCGGCCTTCCCGGGCCCCTAACCTGTGCAAAGCGACTTAGCATGTTCTCCCTGGGGACCCGCACATGGTTCAGCTGCAGAAAGCCATTGTCCGTTTGATCAAAGTCCATCTTGGGCCCGATGTCCCCAACGATGATTCCTTGAAGGAGATGGAGATGAAGACACCTATCAGTTGAGGGAGTGCTTGCTATGTGCCAGGTATCACATACACATCCAGTTCACAGCAGCCTGTGACACTGGGGTTATTGTACCTATTTTGCAGGTGAACAAACTGAGGTCAGATAGATGCTGAATCAGATGCTCAAGGTCACCTAGCCAGTTAGTACCAAGTCTGTCCAACTGGACTCCTCCCTGCCCAAGGGAGACATGTCCCAGCTTCTCCTGTGGCCCTCTGGAACCCCAGTCAAGGGAGGCCACATGGGGTCTCCTCCTGGCAGGAGTCCTTGAGGGAGCACTATGGGCATACCTGGCAGGGGGGTGTGGTCCTGAAGACTCCGGATGGGCACAATAAAAGCGTGCATGCCCCGCCGGGCTCCTGAGCAGATCAGCTGGGCCTGGACCAGGGCGTGGGTGGCTGACCGTCCCACTGAGGGTGGAAAGAGGAGAGGCCCATCACAGGAAGACCTGTGCATTGCTTTTCCCACCCAGCTTCCTGGGTCTGGGGTTTTGGATGGGTACCTCTGGGGCCCTGAAAAGTCACTGATCACAGATAGGGGAAATTGCCCCCAAAGAACCAAGCAAACCTAGCAGTGACTTGGCAAAGGCACTGTGAAATGATCCACCTTTTTTTTTTGTCCCCCACCCCCCAACTATTAACGAATTACTCTCATCAACTTTACAATAGTGAATACGGATAATTATCATTTATCGAAATCCATGTGGCACTAGACCCTGTGATAGATGCTTTCCAGTTCTTGCAGGGGAGGGATGATGATGAGTCCCATTTTCCAGATAAGGAAACAGGCTGAGAGTGTAGAGTGACGCACTGAAGTTCACTGGCCTGGAGGGACAGAGCTGATTCATCTGTACCCTGGTCTGTCTGATCTTAAAGGCTGGTTGCTTTTGTCTTCATTTTTTGACAGTGGTCATTCATTTTCTATCTTGTTTTCTCTCATCTCTCTCTCGCTCTTGTTTTTTTTTTTTTTTTTTTTTTTTTTTTTGAGACAGAGTCTTGTTTGGTGGCCCAGACTGGAGTGTAGTGGTGTGATCTTGGCTCACTGTAACCTCTGCCTTCCAGGTTCAACCAGTTCTCACGCCTCAGCCTCCTAAGTAGCTGGGATTACAGGTGTGCATAATCATGCCTGGCTGATTTTTATATTTTTAGTAAAGACAGGGTTTCACCATGTTGGCCAGGCTGGTCTCAAACTCCTGGCCTCAAGTGATCCACCTGCGTCAGCCTCTCAAAATGCTGGGATTACAGGCGTGAGCCACCACTCCTGGCTCCTGTCTCTCTCTTACGTCTCTGGTCTCTGCCTGTCTCCCTCTCTCTGCGTCTCTCATCTCTGTTACTCTCCTGTTTTAGTTGGACTCTTCATATTTGTTTTAACTTTTCCACACAAGGTATGGGCCCCCAGGTGCCACAGATGTGTCCTCAGAGGTAAATTCTCAAGTTTGAAGAAGGAGAACCCCTTCTTGGGGCTTGGTAAATCACCGAGCCTCAGGGACGCTTGATGTGGCTGCCACCTGGTGGCCACGATGGGAGGTACGGTGTTGGTGGCCTGATTGGTGCTGGTGGTGGGCGTGAGCCTTCCTAGTTGTCTGCCGCAGGCGCAGGGAGGTGTGTTCTTTTCACTGTGTCAGCACAGGGCTTGTGCTCTGGCTGGTGGTAAGCTCTCCCACTAACTCGGGAGATGAGAGGAACTGGGCTTGTGGGGAGTGCCTGGGACTAGACCAAGGGTGTGTGTGTGTGTGTGTGTGTGTGCGCGTGCACGCGTGTGTGTGTGTGTGTGTGTGTGTGAGTGTGAGGCCTTGTCTCTCATGGGTCGATTGCCTCCTCTACTTCAAAGTTCTTTTGGGACTTTCCAGCCACTCGTTAATGAAATGTTGAATATCCCACCTATTTTACAGAGTAAGAACATGAGGCTCAGGGAGGTGACCTGACTTGCCCAAGGTCAGCAGCTTAGAACAGAAAATCAATCTGAGGGCTGTTGGCCCTCAAAGCCAGTGCCATTCTGCCCTCAACATTGCTCTACTTGGGGAGAGATAAGGAAGCGGGGTGGATGGATACTCACAGTCTCCAGGCCACCATTTGGTGGCAGTCAGCGTGGGGCTGTGTATTACAAACTCCTGGGTGGCTGCGTCATAGGTAGCTTCAGTCTCCAGGCCCTGAAGGTATGTCCCTTAGGATCAAGGAGGTGTGTTAGACATTGGCCCCAGGTGAGGTTCTTACCTGGGAAGCTGCTTGTAGGTGGGCCTGAATCTTAGGCGTCAGCAAAGTATGGAGTGGGGCTCAGCTCCCAGCTGTACTTACAGGCAGTTCTCCCCTTTCATCTGCAGGCTGTGTGGGGGACACACAGTTCCCTCTAGCCAGTCTATGACAAGGGATGGGTGCTGATGTTCCTGGAAGGAATGACTTGCCCCACCGGCAGCTCATACAATATGTGCAATTAGAAGGTGGGACCCCTTCCTCAAGCCCCTTGACTGCCATCTGCTGAAATGTTTTCATAGGAAACATATGTCCCTCGGAGCATACGAACCTATGGCTACTGAGATGTGAATGGGCCCTCTGGAGTTTTGCAGTGCACAATCTACACACCACATGCAGCAGTCCTGGCTCACCATGTCCCAGTTCTGTCTGAGCATATGTTGTGATGATCTGGATGTTTTTGCAGAGTGGGTCCCATTTGGCAATCTGCTCCTCTGTGCCCAGACTCCTGAGGGCTTTCACAAAGACTCTGTGTATATTTAAGGCCACATCTCCAGAAATGGCTCTGTTGGGGAGAGATGCTGTAGTTGAGTAGCCTATTGGAGACAGGGGCCCAGGTACACACTGCCTGAGCAGAGTAAAGGAGATAAGGGACACCTCCATCCTGGTTTCCTAGTAAGTCTTCCCTTTGTTGGGAAAAATGGCTCATGGGGCTGGGGGGCTTCCAGGTGATCCCAGGTATATCGCTCTCTAGTGGAGCTGCCCCAGGAGTGAGTACCTGTAAGCATAGCCTAATTCAGGACCATCTGCCAACCAACCCAGGCGCTGTGCTGTCAATCGGATGTGGAATGCCCTCCGCATGGCAGCCTTATAACGCTCATTCTGGGTCATGAAATAATCGTCCTTACGGCTAAACTCTGGATAACTGTGGATGATGCTCTCTACAGAGGACAGAGAACAGAGGGCTTAGGGACCTGGGGTGCGGTTTCTGGCACCTTCAAATCTTCTCACCCACTTGCCTCATGGATCTGGAAAGTAAATCAGACGTTATTGTTATATTACAGATGACAAAACTGAGGACAAGTGGTGGGAAAGTGAATTGCCCAAGGTTACAAAGCTATGCAGCGGCAGAATTTTAGGACCAGAATCCAGGTTTTCTGCCACCTAGGACTCTTCTATCCCTCAGGTGGGCTCAGGCAATGTTGGCATGTAAAGATTGTCTTTACAGTTCAAAGGAATGAATCTCTAACAGTGGAATTTCAAGGGCAAAATTTGTTATTTGGAGGCAGGACTGCTAATGAAGGACTCTTACCAGAGAAGCCTGGGGCGTAAAGCAGATGTCCCATTCCCCAGCTTCCCCTTACCAACTTTCCTCCGGAGCGCAGTGTTCTGGGCACCTCCATCAAGGATGTTGGTGAGCCGTTCCACGTCAAAGGACTGCATATGCCTCTCACTCTCTATGTCGGGGTGCATTTGTCTGCTCCAGGTATCCCCCAGTGATACTCGGTGCACTGGGCTGCCCATCCTATCCTGGATCTGCCTGGTGACTGAGGAGAGACACTTCCAACCTGGCTGCTCCGAGGGTCTGCTCTGATCTTGGGCAGTGCAAAAAACCTGTGTGTGAGAGGAAGTGCCTAGGGCTGGGTGTCAGCCAGGGCTGCTTGGTAGAAGAAAGACATCCTAAGTACCTGAATGCCACGCCACTTCCACACTCGCCCTGTGGATGCTTGCTGTGGACCAGGCACTGTGTGCATGGTGGACATGGTATGCAGTCATTGCTCGGTACCTGTTTGTTCAATACTTGTTAACCAAGATTGGACAGTGCCTGACCCCAAAGACTGGGCTCTATCCACTGCAGTTTGTGTTACCTGCATTGCCTTGGGCAGTCTTCACAAAAAGTCAGTGAAGTTTACACCTGAAGAAATCAATCCTGGAGAGGTTGAGTGGCCCCTAGCCACGCAGCTGGAGATGGCCAGGAGGTGGATGGGGTCTCACCACAAAGCACATGCTTTGTCCACACTGCAGCTCCACTGTGGAGAGTGACTAGGAGCACCTTGGTATCATTCAGTTGCTCGTAAGTTCTGGGATCATCCAGCCTCATTTCTATGAGCCCTGCAGGTGTTTTGTGGAACTGAGGGTGGAAGCCTGCTCCCTGCTTGTGAATGTTCCCCTAAAACCCCTGCCTCCTTCACAATAAATGCTTGGCCTCTGAGAAGCCCCCACTTTTCCACAGTGAGGTAACCTTGAGGTGCGGTCCATCCCACTTCACAGGTCTCTTGAGTCTATCTGCTCTTATGTCTCCTTGGCTAGCACCCAGGCCACTGTCATCTCTTACTTGGCCTCAGTGTCCCTCTTGTCTGTTCTCCCAGCTGCTAGGTGAAGTCTTGCAAATCACGTTGTTTTCCTCTCTGGCTTGGAGTTTGCTCCTTGGGGCCCACTGTTTGTGGAGTGGAGTCCTTGCTGTGTCTACCCGCCTCCCACTGTGCTCGCCTCTCTCCTGTGGCAACTTACTGCCCTCATCGCTGGCCTCTACTCTCTCTTCCTACCCTTTGCCCCTGCTGCTCCCTCTCGGCAAGGTCTGGGTCCAGCTCCATGGCCCCCTGGGTGTTCTTAGTGTTAGTAACAAGTTCTTATTTACTTACATGTTCTTCCTACAAGGCCTAGGAGGCCAGCTCTGCATTTCTGAGCTTGCAGCAGCCATTCTGCACATCTTTCCCACAGGTTACCATGCTTTTCATCCCCTTCCTGCCTTACCTCAACCTGACAGATGCACTACTGTTATTACCATTTTATGGAGAGGACGTGGGCCTTGGAAAGGGAGGAGACTTTATAACATCATGCAGCCACATGTAGCAAGTGAGATTCATATGCAGGCTTTCAAACCAATACCCCTAGCAGGCAGTGGGGGTGCTGGCAAGGGGCCCCCATCCTCTGCCCCCGGGAGTCCAGTGCGGCTCTTCTCTTCCTGCCCTACCTCTCCTTCCGCTGCTGCCCCCGCCTTCTTGCTGTTCTGAATGCCCCAAGCCTTCCTGCCACCGCCAGCTTTTGCTGGGGCTGCTCCCCCTGCCCAGAACCCCTTTCTTCAGATGTCACTATTGCTTTTTGCATTGAGCCTCATTTAACCTGAAAGAGGCCCTCTTTAAACCCGCAACCCCCCACCCCCAGCGTTCCCTGTCCTCACTGGGCTCTCCTTTTTCTCTTTTCAGTTGCCCTCTTCTGACATTCGAGGTCATTTCATATGTTTTTCTTTACTTCTGTCTTCCCGCTACTAACACGGAAACTGCAAGAGGGCCGTGATCTTTGTCACTGTCACGCTGTTACCCTGACACTTAGTGCAGGGCCTGGTTTGCAGGGGTGCCCAGTAGAGGAAGACTTGCCCTGGGTCCCTCGGAGCTGTGGACAAGGTCATAGCGAGGGTGCCGCGTCCTCTGGAGTCTCCCGGTCTGTCCCCGCCCCGCAGCCTGGCTCACCTGGCTCCCTTCTGTCCTGTGTCGGGTTGGCCTTTCCTCCTGACTGCAGGCCGCAGCCTCTGGCAGGCTTGTGGTCCTGCCCTTCTCTCCTCCCACAGAGGGGCTGGAACGCAGAAGCTGAGAGCCCTGTTTGGCCCGCGCTCCGCCTGCCTGTCTGGGCTTGCTGACTAGTCTCTTTCCTCCCTCTCTTCCTGCATGGGTGTGACCTTCACACCAGGGTCTGGGGCTGCCCTGGAGGACTGCTGTGTGTGGAGCCCTTCCATTCTCAAAGCCAGGGATTCCTGTGTTACTACTTGTACCAAAAACTGTGTACCCCAGCAGTGTTTCCAAAGTGATATCCCGGTCTTTGCTGATCTTTCATTGTGTGCCCTTCAGGGACTCAAGCTGTTAATATCACACGAACTTAATAGGCTCCCTTCAGAAGGTCCTTACATGAAAGGGCTGCTCTGTAAGGTGTATGGTTTTCCTCTCTCCCCATGTTTCTGCTCTAACATGTGGTTTGTCTTATGCTTAGCATCCCCTGACATTCCCTGGACAAATATTTGTGGAGCATCCATCTGTAGTGTGTGGGATCCAGATGGGAGCCCGTCTTAGTGGGAGGGATGAGAGGCTTAGAGCTTTCCTCCCTGCATAACCACCTTGGAAAGTCAGATGCAGCTTCCCACTTTGCAGGTAAGGAAACAAGCTCAGGGAGGGGATGTCACTTTGTTCGGGTTGGCACCGTAAATAGATTACGTAACGCATTTGTGTAAGATTGGGAAAGAAATCAGGAGGCCAGTGGGAGATCAAGGCTCCTGTTCTGGCAGGACTTCTGAGCTGCGTTGACTCTGAGGAGGTGTCCTTCCTTTCTAGGCCTTGGCCTCCCTTGTAATGCGAGATATTTGCTCAGTAAGGAACCTCACGACACCCCATCATATCCCAGGGTAGTGTCTAGCTTGTTTCTGCAGGAGGAGGCAGGCAGGATCTGTGGCCCAAGCTTTGAGACTTATCACCTAATAGATCCTCCTGGAGTTGTGGGGCTCAGCTTCCTGGCAGTTCTCATTGCCATGGGCAGTGGTTTCAGGGAAGGTGGCATTGGCCTCACTGTTTGGAGGTGAAAGTTCTCACTTCCAACTGGATTCACCTCTGTGAAGGAGTAATGCTATCACCGACCGTGTGACAATGACTTAGTTTCTCTGTGCCATAGAGAAAGGCCTGGATGACAGGAGGTGCCCAGTGGAGAAAGCCTTGCTCAGTGGCCCTTGGAGCAAGGCTTTTTAATAACCTCTCTATGTTTAAATTGTTTTTTCATCCACTTTGAGGCTGACCCTATTCTGTATGTTTTGGATGTGATCATTTTGAGTTGTTTCACTGAACTCTTGAATTCTCTAGCTTAAAAGGCTTTTTAAATTACAAAATATTTCAAACTTCTACAAAAGTAGAGAGAAAAATATACTGAATCCACACATGCCTAATACCCAGCACTGACAATGATCACACTTATCTCCTTGTTCTTTGTTTTTAACTTTTTATTTTAAAATAACTTTAGACTTTCAGAAAGTTACACAAAGTTCTTGTATATCCTTCACTCAGCTTCTTCTAAGGTACGATTATGAAACCAAGACATTAACATGGCTGCAATATTGTTAGCTAATCTTCAGAACTTATTTGAGTGTGTCAGAAGTTCTCCAAGATCAACCTCAGGTCCCGTGACTTTCTAGGAAGACTCACAGAACTTAGAAACTGTTATGCTGAGCCAGGCACAGTGGCTCATGCCTTTAGTCCCAATGCTTTGGGAGGCTGAGGTGGAAGGATACTTGAGGCCAAGTGTGTGAGACCAGCCTGGGCAACCTAGCAAGACCCTGTCTCTACCAAAAGAAGATGTAAAAATTAGCCTGTGTGCCTGTAGTTCTAACTACTTGGGAGGATGAGGTGGAAGGATTGCCTGGGCCCAGGAGTTTGACGCTGCAATGAGCTGTGATGGAGCCACTATACTCTAGCTTGGGTGACAGAGTGAGAACTTGCCTCTAGAACAAACAAGAAGAAACTGTAATACTCATGAGTACAGTTTATTACAGCAAAAGTCAACAGTTTAAAATCAGTAGAAGAAAAAGGTACATAGTGTGATGTCTCGGAGAGAATAGACTGAGCTTCTAGGTGTCTTCCCCAGTGGTGTTCTATGGACAGCACTTAATTCTCCCAGCAATGATGAGTACGATGTGCACGAAGTATTGACAACCAGGGAAGCGCACTTTTGTGGCAGGAGAACAGCAGAGGGAATTGAAGGTTGGATAAAGGGTAGAAGGAGTGAAAGCAGAAGCAAGATGAGGGGCGAGCGAGCAAGAAGCAAGAAAAGAAGCAGAAGTTAAGCAGCCAAATCAAAAGTAAGATGCAAAAGTGAGTAAAGAGACCCTATGGCCAGCCAGATGCTGACCAAACCAGTATGCAGGGGAACAGCTCTCAGAGATGGGCATGAGCATTAGAGAGAAAAAGTATCCTTGACAAGACCCCAGATGATAATCAGCTCATTAAAGCTCATGCATATGAACTGCATGTCATGCATGTGGTTGAGATTATGGGATAGAGGTAACGCAAGTGCACAAGAGCCAAAGTAACTAAGCAACACACCTATCAATCAAAAGGCAGACACTGGCTAGAGATTAGGCAGCCCTGGGAAAAGAAAAGGGGGGGGAAACACATAAAAAGACCACAAGTACATTAAACTGATGCTGATCTCATCTCACAGAGGTCAGCCCACTCTCCCCTCTTTGAGAGTATAATGCTGTGCTTAATAAATTTTGCTTCTGGCTTTGCTACTTGTGTGTATCATGTCCAGTTTTTGTTTTGTTTTGTTTCGTTTTGTTGTTGTTTGTTTGTTTTTGAGACAGAGCCCAGGCTAGAGTACAGTGGTGTGATCCTGGCTCACTGCAACCTCTGCCTCCTGGGTTCAAGTGATTTTCCTGCCTCAGCCTCCTGAGTAGCTGGGATTACAGGCATGTGCCACCATACCTGGTTAAATTTTGTATTTTTAGTAGAGACAGAGTTTCACCATGTTGGTCAGGCTAGTCTCGAACTCCTGACCTCAGGTGATCTGCCCACCTTGGCCTCCCAAAGTTCTGGGATTACAGGCGTGAGCCACTGTGCCTGGCCTGGTCCAGTGTTTTTGTTTGTGACACCAAGAGCCTGGAATTGCACGGCACCATCCAGTAACACCTTGGTGTTCAGAGTGCAGTCATCACAGAGCCATGGGATGCTGGTGTGGCTGACCTTAGTTACTCAGTCTCCATTGCCTCCAGATGTGAAACTGATAGAATGTGTGGCCCAAGGACCCACTGGGAATCACATTATTAGTATAAAACTGCCTGGCATGGACCAAGGGCCCAGGTATACAAAGATTCTGTTTTCAGGCAGGATATTCCAAGGGCATAGAGGTTCTCTCTCAGGAGCTGTCAAGAACCAGTCCTTTCTTTGGACTATGCAGGGTTTGAAATATTGCTGAGTTAACATTCTTCTGCATGTTGAGTTTTGCTAGTTTTCCCATGAATGTCCTCTTTCTGGTTTAGGATTGAATCCAGGATCTCACATTACATTTCATTGTCCTGTCTACATGAAATGGTATAGTTCCTCAGTTTTTCTTTGTCTCTTACAACCGTGATACTTTGAAGAGTACTCAAGGTGTTTTGTAAAATGTCTTTCAACTTGCATTTGTCTGCTGTTTTCTTATGATTGGATTGAAATGAAGTTCTTGGTGTTTCTTAATATTTGCTTTACCATGCCCTATGAACAGAAAGGTGTTTTTTTTTGTCTATTGAAATGCATCCACTTGTCACATGATATTCTGTTTTGCTGATAGTTAGAAGTTTGATTCCTCATGGGTAGCATTAAAATGCTATTTTGCATTCTTTCTTTTTTATACTTTAAAAATATTTAACTTATTTATAATTGACAAATAAAGATAGTATATATTTATCATGGACAATAAGGTGTTTTGAAATATGTGTACGCATTGTGGTGTGGCTAAATCAAGCTAATTAACATATTCATTACCTTGCACATTTGTTTTTTTGTGGTAAGAACACTTAAAATCTACTCTCTTAGCAATATTCAAGTACATAATATATTAATCACAGTCATCATGTTGTACTTATTGATATTATGTTATTGAAATCACCTTTGCAAAAATTATAACTGAGAAATTATGATGATGAAAGAAATCTGACCTAACTGACTCCATCTTGCTTCTAACTTCCAAACTGTCCTTGTTCTTTCCTGGGCAGAGGCCAAACTGACTTTGGGAGGAACTGAGTTATAGTTTAACTTTGAACAAAGATGATAACAGCCCTTTCCCAGAATAAACCCCCTTCTTGCCTGGGGACTAGACTGCCTTTGCAGGACTAGCAACTAGCTACAAGATTAGGAATTATGGTTTAGGGGTCATGCAGCTGGACTCGTAAGCCTGTGTGTGTGTGTGTGTGTGTGTGTGTGTGTGTGTCTTGATGAATTGACCTATCATTTTATGATGATCTTTGTCTCTTTTTACAAGTTTTGACTTAAAGTCTCTTTTATCTGAGACCAGAATGACTTTCCCTGCACTCTTTTGGTTTCCATTAGCATGGAATGTCTTTTTCCACCCCTTTCACCCCTTCCACACTCTCAGAATGTGTGTATTTTTGTGTGCATGTGTGTGTGGCAGGGTCTCACTCTACTGCCCAGGTTGGAGTACAGTGACACGAACTCAGCTCACTCCCGGGCTCAAGTGATTCTCTTGCCTCAGCCTCCTTAGTAGCTGGAATTACAGGTACCTGGCACCATGCCCAGCTAACTTTTGTATTTTTAGTAGACATGGGGTTTTGCTACTGTTGGCCAGGCCGGTCTTGAACTCCTGACTTCAAGTGATTTGCCGACTCAGCCTCCCAAAGTGCTGGGATAGAGGTTGAGCCACAACGCCCGGCCTTCTAGTGACCTTCTTTGTCTCTTTTTACGTTCTTTGACTTGAAGTCTGTTTTATCTGAAAGTACAGCGACTCCTGCTCGTTTTTGTTTTTCCTTTGTGTGGTATATCTTTTTCCATTTCTTCACTTTCAGTCTATGTGTGTCTTTAATGGTGAAGTGAGTTTCTTGTAGGCAGTATATAGTAGTTGGGTCTTGTTTTCTT